CATATACAAGGTAATGATTGCACTGGCAAGTCAAAAGAATTAATTATATTTTGGTAAGCATTGCATTACATACCTTTGGGTTTCACTTACAAGACCGTAATTGTTATTACATAAAAGGGTTTGTAACCTGGGTAATTGTTTTTGATTTGTTTTACATGGAATAACTATTGACAGTTTAGAACAACCATTTCCATTGAAACTTGTTGGAAAATTGTGTGTGCAAGAAAGAAAAAAAAATTGTTTCTCCATCATGTTATTTCCATGGTCTGTAATCTTATTGACCATACTTGTTGACCAAAAAGTGCTGCAAAAAAATGCTTAGCTATTGTAAGATCCTGCATTGAAAATACAAATGACATAGTTGATGGCACATCGAAAGTCAACTGAAATGAGCAGATTTAACTTGTGTGTTAAGAAATGACACAGAAAGTCTGTTTATTATGCTTAGAGACGACTACGTCCATCGGTGCTCTAATGTACTTGAATTTTCAATACAGATTGATGTGACATGGATTTTATGTTGCCTGTACTTAGTAGGGAAAAAAAGATAACATTACATGGTAATTGCTTCAATTTGTGGAAGGGAATTTTGTCACCTTGAGTTAACAACCCCCATTGCATTCATTGCTCTTACGAGATGAATATTTTGAGATGCAACTGTATAATCAGCCATCAGAGACAAAACTGATAATCGGAATGCGTAGTGTCTTTTTAGTCACAGTGTGGTTACACGTATCAGGAAATGCGTGGTAACACTACAACTTATCGTGATTTGTATAAAAATTTCTAGTTACTTTTAAAATCAATAATTCACTGTCATGTTAAAAATCAAGAATTTGTCATTTTTTGTAAATACTGCTATAATAATAAAAGTTGACATATGTTTATGTTGTCGCATTAATAGCAGGGTTCATACAGATTTTTGAATCCATCATTCAAGACTTTTTCCAAAACAATCATTTCTTTTTTCATACTCAAGGTTATCAAATAGGTGATCAATAGAGACCTTACCAAAACTGAAGGAACAAAGGCTTTTTCCATGCTGCGCTGCAAACGTACAAGTGAGATTGAATAAGTTTGGACCACTAGCACAAAAAATATTCACTTGTAGTTGTTAAAAGCACTTTATATTGTAACTTTAAAAAAACTCAATACTTTTTACCATTTTTTCAAGACTTCATCTCTATTTTCCAGACTTTTTCTAGGTCTGCAAAATTTGCCCAGGAAAATTAATTCCTAGGCAAACTTCAAGACATTTTCAAGAACTCAAGACTCTGTAGGTATGCCAGGAGCAATCAGCAATATTGAATATTATAATCATGTAAATGTACAAATGTGTGTAGTAATGCCCACACCAAATTCTAAGTTAAGTTAAAGAATATTGGGCTTCAAATATAATATTCACTTTCAAAAATATATTTACACAACTATAAAAACAATTAATTTTGAACATTGCCTCTATTGTTGCCAATGAAAACATGTATATGTATATTAGAAATATTGGTTGTGTTACTTTTTTCATTTTGTTTCAGACTTCAATAATAAAAGACAAAAAAAGTAATAAATAAATCTGTGTGATACATTCTTCATGTGGTGGGAATATATAATCTACACATGTTTAACTGGTATACCTGGGGGGTTACTCGTCCCATATTTGGGAAAAGGGTGACCTACTGAGGGTTTGAAACCCTGACCCTATTAAAAAATTCTTAAATACTCCGATATGTTTAGGACAACACCCTTTTTTTTTACCTGATTTAGAGCGAAGGACAAATTATTGCACTCTATCTTGTTTTTAAAGTCATTTTCTATCAATTTCAATAAAGCAAATACCCGTTGCACTCATTGCTTTTGTATGCTTGGATTACAAAAAAAATTTCATCCTGTTGATAATTAGGGCGGCACACCCCCATATAGGCCATATAAGGGAGCACCCCACTGCAGGATTGAACAGTGACACAATCAAAGGGTTGGGTGGCATTGGCCATTGTGACAATAATCTATGGAACTTCAAAATCTCCTTTTTGTTTCACAAGCAAATACAGAGAAATTTGAAGGGAAAATTTTGCATACCACAATGCACTTAGCGTGTTTCTCCACACCCACAAACGTTTGATTTAAGGCAAGCAAAATGCCTAAAAAGCCCATTTTGTGGATTTGCACAGTGTGTACATTCTAGCCAACATAATTGGCTAATCAGGATATAAAAAATATGGTGAGGATACATGACAAGAAAAATTTCAAGAGATATATAAGACCATTATCCGAAACCATGGCAATTTTTACTCACTTATCTGCACTGATATGATCAACAACTTCCAGTTGCACCACTTTCAAGAATGAAAAATATTGGCTTGTTAACATATAAAATGAATGAAACATAAAATATTCACCTCATTGAATTGCCATGGTTTGGATTATTGTGGGTAGGGGCATCTTAGGAAAATAAATTGGATCTAGATTCCAGCTCTTGAATCCTCAACTAGATTTGTCGTTTCTTTTAAAGTATATTTTCAATTTCCAAGTCAAGTTTCATTTTTTCTTTTTGAAGAACAGAGAGGTGCAGTTCAATTATCTCGTCCATTGTCACTTTCTTTCTTGGAGTTTTCTTGGGCTGTTCAGGCAGCTTTGCTGAGGTCTTTGACGGCAAAGATACAAGCAGTGATTCAGCAGAACTGCTTGAGGAATTAAGCTGTGTATCAGGTAGAGCTACTGGCATGGGTAGTGGATCTGGCACGATTGAAGACTGGCAGCTGGTTTCTCTGGTGGGTGAATTTCCAGAAAAGGGACTGGTTCCTCTAGAGGATAGAGTTGACAATTTAAGGATGTCAGCATCAATTGTTGAGTCCCTGGTTGAGTCTGAAACTTGTGCTGCATAAACATTGTGCTGGATAAACATTGTGTTAAAACCCATAACTAATCTGATTGTCCTTTTCACACTACATTTCCCACTAAGAACTCCAGATAATCTCAACGCAGCTGACCAATTTTTCTTACTCTTTATCTGTTTCTTGGGTTTAAAGATTAAATATATTGAAATGTTGGGGTAAAATAAGCTTATTTATGCAAATGGTAATTTAAAGAAAACTAACTTGGGTAACAACACTGGTATCGATTTTGGTAACACCTTTCTTAGCATAAGTTGACAATTTTTCAATTCTTTCGACGATAGAATAAAAGGCAGTAGCTTTTTATATACCGAATGATTTAGACAATTTCGCGGCTGACAATATGTAGACCGCTGAGGAAACGAGTGAGCTTTTCAGCTTGACCAAAACATCTGTTATAAAATTAAAGGAAACGAAACAAGGTTAGCTCTTATAGTAGAAGTAGCCGTTTTCGATAGATTCGTTTGGTACAGGTCTCAAAAATTATTCGCTCACTCGCTCATATTAAAGCGGAGAATGGTTTGGTCTTGTTTTTTCAAAGTCATGCATGTGTATATCGGTATACCAACGAAAAAAAATGCATCACGATATGAGCCTTACTATAAGCCATTTTTACAAGAAAATTCTTCACTGTTCAGTGAACTTTAGCCGGAAAAATTTTAACTTCTACTGGGTCCAAACGCATCCTGGGCAAAATGCGGCGTACGAGGGCGAAAAAGTTATAAACAACTAGAATTCAACGCAAACGCCTTTCAGGCGAAACATAACTACTTAAAGTGATTTATCGTTTCGCTCGTGTTATAGAATTTCTAGCAAAGCAGTGATTTACCTGAATCTATCCCACAGGAAATACCGCTGAACGAAGGGTCGTCCTCAAACAACTGGATTATCTTAACTGTTGTTCCTTTAGGGGAGTCTGGTTTTCTTCCTCCCCCAGTCTCGTTTCGTGAGACAGCGCATTTGTTGTGTTCTTTCCTGGCTGAGCTGACCATACCCCTCCACCTTTCTTTCACCTCCGCAACACTTCTTTTGCATACGCCGAGGGCATTCACTTTAGAGGTGATTTTTTCCCAAACTCGTGACTTATTTTTGTTCGATAACGTTGAAGAAAACTTGCTTTTAATGATACTAAGATTCTCTTCCGCCTCTTCAAAAATTACCGCACACTCTGCTGGCGTAAAGTTAGGCTTTCTAGGGCGCTTGGCCGGTGAAGGCTCAATATTTTCAGCCATGTTGTTGTCCGTCTGGCACGCGCAATCTAAGCTCACGCAAGGCTAGATTTATTACCATGGCAACTGTCTGGATAGCGATTTATCCATCGGATACGCAAGGCTATCCGCGCTTTGTGCAACAACTTTTTATCCACTGCTATCCAGTGGATAGGAGTTTTATCCACTGGATAGGCCTATCCGCTGGATAAAGTTATCCGCTCTTTGAACAACGGGGGCCAGCAGTATAAAGTTGCTTCAGTTACGCTCACTGTAATCAGAATGATATGCTTGACTACAGGTCGAGCGCGGTTCTATAGTTAAAGGTGATCATATGCAGATTCCCTTCAAGTTAAATGGCGGCAAATCTTTGAAAAGCTTCGAAGAATGAGATTTCTTAATAGTGTGGGGGTGTGTTTGAGCAACTCGCTTGCTACACGATGAGGTACCAGGAATGTGATTTACATCTTGGCCTTTATTCTTCTTTAACTTCTGCTAATAATCTTAATCTTCCTACTCTTCTCCTCTTCTCTACTTTACTTCTCCTACATTAGGTCAAGTATAGGAGCGGATTTTATAGCCAAAGCTCGGAACATGTTTGTGTTAACTGACCGGAAGAGTTTCTATTGTATATCTTATCGCTAACATTGCAACAGGTTTGCTATTGTTAGGGAATAGATTAGCCTACGCACAGCCGCGACTGACAAGTACCAAAAAACACCACAAACACGACCACCTGTAAATAACTAACTACTGACAATGCCAAGCGAATAAGTAAATAACTAAATTCGCGAGCTGAGCATAAATTCAAGTACAAGTAAAAACAAAAGATCAAAACAGGAAAACAGTTCGTGGACAAAAACAAGACTTAATGAAACAAAAACTAAACTTAAAAGATAAGATAGATCCGTCTTAAAAATAACTTTCAAAATACTTCACAACAATAGAAACGTCTTATGATTGCGTTGTCGTCGAAGGATATCGAACTAGGAATGAATATTTCTATGGAAATCTTTTAAGCTGCAATCGGTAGCTGGTTGAGAATATGCTTGTTTGAGTCAAAAGACCGTATAGTATTACGTATGGAACCAAGATTTCCGCGGGTGTAGGTAAAATGACAATGATCTATTTGGTACCAGTTGTAAACGTGTCATGTTTAAGGAAACACTTTGCTTAGCTATGACTGCAAGACCGGTTTCGGAACCAAAATGTTGGATCCTTCGTCAGTTGCTTAGGTATAGCTGTTAACAAGAGCTCACCAAGAGTGCTAGTGCCGTAAACTAAAACTTAATCCTTAGGGACTTCAACTATCCTGCCATCAAGTGGATTGAAGGCTTCGGCTTTTCGAATTCTACGAACTCTACTGATTCTGCTTTTTGTGAAACTCTACAAGACCATTCTCTACTTCAAGTGAACCCTTTTCCGACCCGCAAGAACGATATTTTTAATAATTACTGATGCACCTGACCGCATAACGAACATCACGACCATGACTCCTGTACAGGCTGGCCTTGAGACCGACCACGACCTACTTGAATTTAACTTTGTAGGGAGGCCTACTCGAGTGAGGAAATCTGCGCGCTAAAAAATATATGCCTACAATTTCAAATCAGCTGATTTTGAGTGCCTTAAAATGCAGATTATGTAGAGCTCAGCAATCAGTAATAGCGTGTCATGTAACTTGTGTGTTGACGCCTGCTGGTCTTATTCAATGAGGGGACACAAGTTGCCTGAACTGTAAGTATCCAGGAGAGTCCCATACAATTTACTGTAACGTTGTCACAATATATTGTATGGGACTGTTGGAACACCTCAGGCAGTATCCGAGAGAGACGTTTATATAATTCATTTCTAATGACACGGATTTGATAATTAATTTCCTCTATACAGATGCGATTACCAGTCTATACTGAGTTGTAATAAATGCGTCTCAATTTTCGCGAGAACAATGAGACTTGTGTTTATTTGCTGCCGTCTGGTTCTCAGCAGCACGCACTTTGGGAAACGAGATAATTTAAAATTATTTGACTCGATAGTCACGGTAAAGACTCTAGTTGGAAGAAAAAATTATCCTTCCCGCCGCCGTATTGCGAAAACGCGAGGCGCAATACGGACATATCTAGTTTCTTACAAAGCTGTCCTGACTAAGTTGTAATGCCGTCACAACCAAAATAAATTAAGTTTACATCGCAAAAAAAAGGACAGTGCTGACCAAAGTAAATTATTCCTTTCCACGAATACATTTTTTTCGCTCGCTGCGAATTAAGCCGTAGAAACAAAATTGAAAAAACAAAACCGGATCGAAAAAAATAAATGAAATCACCAAAAAACCGTCTTGGGAGAGTCGTAGGGATTTTATTAGATAAGCTTCAAAAATTGTACATGAATGGAACAGTCATCTACAAATTTTCAGCCCTCCTCAAGCTATAGAAAATTATTTATTTATTTATTTATTTATTTAGTCACTCACAAGACCTTATACAACATGAACAAAAGGTGTTGATTAAATTATAAAATCAATGTGACAAGGAAGCCTAACGAAGCTTGAAGCTTATATTAATACGCTTCCTTCAACTACTAGTGAACTAAATTCATGGCTGAGTGCAGAGTGAGTAAGATCAGAAAATTTAGCGACAGATCGGCTATCAGTGAGATAATTCTTTAAATTTTTTTTAAAAACAAATATAGAGGGAGAGCTAATTAGTGAAACAGGCAACGAATTCCAGATTTTAGGTCGTCGGTAAACGATACTGAATTGCTTTATATTTGTTCTACAAAAATGAGGTCTATACTGAGAGGCTAGTCGAGTTTCGTATTGATAGACTTGATTACTACTTAAGAACAACTCACGAAAGCTACTAAGCAAAAGATTATGGTGATAAGGACATTAACATTGACTTTCTTTTGCCTTGGATGAAAAATCATAAAATTTGTTTTAGTCAAATTTAGAGGTAACTTATTCACTTTAAGCCAAATAGTTATTTTTGCAAGTTCATTGTTAACAATAGAAACGAGGTGGTTGGCATCTTTATGGGAACAAAAGATACCTGTTTCATCAGCAAACAGTAAAGATTGAGTGAGACTAGAGACATTAGGAAGATCATTAATGTAAATAATAAACACAAGAGGTCCAAGAATTGATCCCCGTGGGACGCCACATAAAATTTTCCTCGGATAAGATCGATCGGACCCAAACTGGACAAATTGAGTCCGATCGTCAAGATAGCTTTTGGTCCACGCCAAAGCAGTATCCCGAATACCATAGTGTTGCAGTTTTTTTCATTATTAATAGTATCAAACACCTTAGAAAGATGTAACAAGATGCCTAAAGTTGTTTCATTTCTATCGATAGCTAAAGATGTGTTGTTGATCAAGTCAATTAACGCTTATGCAGTCGAATGATTATTACGGAATCCAAATTGTTTCGAGTATAAAATATTATGCAAATTTAAGAAATTAATCAGTCGGTTATACATGACTTTTTCAAAGAGTTTAGAAAAGGCTGGAAGAATTGATATTGGCCTGTAATTACTAAAAAGTGTTGGGTCATCTGCCTTAAAAACTGGAATCACTTTGGCTATTTTGAGAGATTCAGGAAACACACCAGTAGANTGCCTTGGATGAAAAATCATAAAATTTGTTTTAGTCAAATTTAGAGGTAACTTATTCACTTTAAGCCAAATAGTTATTTTTGCAAGTTCATTGTTAACAATAGAAACGAGGTGGTTGGCATCTTTATGGGAACAAAAGATACCTGTTTCATCAGCAAACAGTAAAGATTGAGTGAGACTAGAGACATTAGGAAGATCATTAATGTAAATAATAAACACAAGAGGTCCAAGAATTGATCCCCGTGGGACGCCACATAAAATTTTCCTCGGATAAGATCGATCGGACCCAAACTGGACAAATTGAGTCCGATCGTCAAGATAGCTTTTGGTCCACGCCAAAGCAGTATCCCGAATACCATAGTGTTGCAGTTTTTTTCATTATTAATAGTATCAAACACCTTAGAAAGATGTAACAAGATGCCTAAAGTTGTTTCATTTCTATCGATAGCTAAAGATGTGTTGTTGATCAAGTCAATTAACGCTTATGCAGTCGAATGATTATTACGGAATCCAAATTGTTTCGAGTATAAAATATTATGCAAATTTAAGAAATTAATCAGTCGGTTATACATGACTTTTTCAAAGAGTTTAGAAAAGGCTGGAAGAATTGATATTGGCCTGTAATTACTAAAAAGTGTTGGGTCATCTGCCTTAAAAACTGGAATCACTTTGGCTATTTTGAGAGATTCAGGAAACACACCAGTAGATATAATGGTTACAAAAGGCTGCGCAATATTTTGGAAAGACTGATGAATTATCTTCACGGATATATTATCATGTCCAGGAGCATTGTTAAACTTTATCGGAAAACTTTTGTCATAAAATTCAGTATATTTTTGTAGGAACCCATTGTAAGCGGCGTTAGCATCAGCATAAATTAGAGAATTCCAATCGAATTCACCCAAAAGGTTGTTAAATGCATTAATATTCTGACAAGATAAGTTGCGAACGGCAACACTTTCCTTAGGCTTAATTTTTGAAGAATGAGCATCAGTGTAACAGAGTTTGAAGATTGGTAAATGGTCGGGCAGATCATTAATAATGAGTCCATTATCACACGAGGCAGATATATTGTTAGTAAAAATGTTATCAATCAGGGTGGCGCTGTACGAAGTAAGTCGAGTTGGTCTCGAAATTAGCGGGTAAAGAAAATGAGAAAATAACGCATTAATAAACTCGTTCGTAGCTGAATGCAAATCAGTGTTACGAAGGTCTAAATTGAAATCACCCATTATGTAACACATTTTGTTGTCCCTGGTTACCCGATCAAGCAATTGGTGAAAAGATTACAGGAATTCATTCATTCTAGGCAATTTTGGCTTCTCCGAACAGATATTTCAGCGAAAACAGAAGTTGGGTGCCCCTGAATAAATACAAGCTCGCTGTTCAAAAACCCCACACTAAATTTTATAA